TTACAGAGATAAAGGAGGCTCCTGGCTAGGCTATGACATATAAAGACGTTTAGAATGATGGACAGGAGAATGAAGGAGGGGGAATGATGTAGGGAGATGAAGCAAAGAACAGTCTGTAGAGACCAGGAAGCAAGGAAGCATGAAATCCAGGTAGATGAGCAGGCGAGTGCAACAGGACACAGGAATGGCCAGGATGAAGACCCAAAGTCAGGCAGTATTTGAAATAACAATTGACGCTTGTCCAAATTCTTTTTGTCAAAACAATTTTTGGACTGGCAAGATGGCTCAGCTAGGGCAGAAGAAAGTGGGTGGTCGGTGTGAAGAGAATGTTTACCATGACCTGCTGTGCCTCCTTGGTACTGGCCTTGACCTCTGAAACTGCTGTTCTCCCTGCTGACCACAGGCTTGGATGCCCCCAGCCAGATCGAAGTGAAAGACATCACAGATACCACTGCGCTGATCACCTGGTTCAAGCCCCTGGCTGAGATCGATGGCATTGAGCTTTCCTATGGCATCAAGGACGTGCCGGGGGACCGCACCACCATCGATCTCACACACGATGAGAATCAGTACTCCATTGGGAACCTGAGACCTGACACTGAGTACGAGGTGTCCCTGACCTCCCGCAGGGTGGACATGGCCAGCAACCCTGCCAAGGAGACCTTCACCACAGGTAAGGCCTGCCCTGTTGACAGGTGCAGAACAGAAAGGGCAGCAAGACTTCTGCCCCACTCCATCCCCAGGTACCTCTCAGGCTCATCTGACAGTGAGGAAAGTAGAGAGGCCATATCCACCCCTCTGCATTTATTTTAAACTACTTAGACATCGATGGCTTTTTCAAAGAAAAAGAATTCTAAATAACCTTCCAAATCATTCCCACACATATATGTACACATGCACATATATACACACATATATATGTGTATGTATATATGTATATACATACATACATGTGTGGAGTAAGAGAGAGAAAGAGGGTGCTGAGCTGATATTCTCAAACTTAACTATAAGTTCTGGTTGAAATTAAATTCACATATTTTAAACATAAACTATAGTGCATAGAAAACATGAATAACAAAGGATTTCTTGACACCTTAGCTGATGGCATTATTTTACAAGTCCCGAAATGTCAATTGTTTATTCAATAAGTACTTTATAGGATCTCAGGAAGGACTAGGTTATTAAAATACATTGATGAAACACAGCAAACTTCTTCCACTCATGATTTTATTGATGAGTTTTTATATTGTTCTTTAAACACAATGTTTGTTAAATACCATACCTCAGTTCTGGAGAAAGGTCCCAGGCCTGTGCTTTGTTTAGATCTGTGTATCAGCTATGGAGATGGGTGGTAGGGGAAGGCGAATCTGTAATCTCTATCCAGTGGCAGGTGCCTTTTGAATCTCTGCTTGAAATGTCAGGATCTGTAGCTGTCCTGCTGCCTGGTCTTTTCAATGCAGACCTTTCTCCTTCCCCCATACAGGCCTAGATGCTCCCAGGAATCTCCGCCGTGTCTCCCAGACAGACAATAGCATCACCTTGGAGTGGAGAAACGTCAAAGCTGACATTGACAGTTACAGAATTAAGTATGCACCCATCTCTGGAGGTGACCATGCTGAAATTGATGTTCCAAAGAGCCAGCAAGCCACAACTAAAACCACACTCACAGGTGAGCCCTGACCCGGCAGCCCCAGGGGCCCTCCAACGACAAGGCTGCTGCATGTCCCTATTTTATAGCCTTCCAAAGAGAGAAATGGGTCCACTCACCCCTGTTCCCCTCACTGGAGCTGCATCAATTCAGTTTGTAACATGTGTTGGACATGCAGAAATTATAATGACCAGGGACCAATCCAGGACTATTTCTATGGTCCTCTGATAGCTTCCCACTTACAGACTAATTAGTGTCAACCTGCATATTCTCTCTTAGGTCTGAGGCCAGGAACTGAATATGGGATTGGGGTTTCCGCTGTGAAGGGAGACAAGGAGAGCGACCCAGCAACCATCAATGCGGCCACAGGTAAGGTACATGAGGTCTCCCACCACTGTTGAAGTGGCATTGGGCAGATGAGACATGACAGGTGAGGAAGACATTTACTTACAAATTAAAAGTAGGAGAAAAGGGCCTCTGGTACCATGGAGCACAGGCGTCTACATTAGAAAAATCATAAGTGTGCTCCCAAGGGAACCATGCCTGTCCAGCTCTCTGTACAGGAAAAGGAATAAGAGAATTCAAGGAAAAAATGGAATCAGATTTTTATAAGATGCTTACATTTTTAATTTGCCAACCTATTATATTTTAAATAAGCCATTATTTAATCAAAACACCTCAAAGGCTTTCTCTTAGCACCTGAAAAAAATACATCTATCAATCATATATTCAGCAACAAGCCTATTGATAACCCAGGCCCTGAGGTTATCCATTGCATCCTATAGCACCAGCCTTGGGTGAGGACCAAAGGTCAATGCAGGATTAGGGCCACTGAGAGTGTTTTTCTGGAAAAGCCCATATTTCACAAAAAAAACATCTCCTTTTGCCTCTCCACCACCTGACCTCTGCAGTGCTGTGAAGAGAGGTTGGGTATCTGTGAGCTACAGATCACACTTGGCTCTGATCTGTAGGATGCAAAGTCCAGTATTGAGTATAGTCATACATATCTTTATGTATATAGATTTATAATACATATTCACATGTATGCATTCTGATTTTGTAATAACTGTAGATTCACATGCAGTTAATGAGAAATCATTCAGAGACCCCTGTGCCCTTCTCTTAGTTTCCCCCAAGGAAACATATCGCATAAATATACAGCAATACACAACTGGGATATTAACATGGATATAATCTCATTGCCTTATTCATATTTCTAGAGTGTTGATGCACTTATGGGGTGTGTGTGTGTGTGTGTGTGTGTGTGTGTGTGTGT